GTTTCTGGATCTCTTTCAGAGGAAATTGCTGCATGCGTAGGGGTACATTCCATGTGCCGTGTGCCTGTGGGAGGAGGGATCTCAGGAGCTCCCTGTATTACCATCTTGGTCAACTTTACTGAAGGATTTTATTAAATGCTTTTAATCCTGTATATTCCCACTCAGTTATGCTGTTTGGTATACTAAAACTATATTTGCTTGTGCCTGAATAAATAGTTGGATATTTCATATATACCTTGCACTTGTACAGAATGATTTTTCTTGTCACTTAATTGTTTTGTTTTTGAAAGTCAACACAGAAACCACATTATGATACTTGAGAGTTCAAAAGGGCCTTAAAGTTTCTCATCTGAAATCTGAGAATTTGCAGCTTCTTAAAAATTCCTCTGGAAATATGTGATAGATCTTAAACGTACACAGTGTTGTATGTCAATTACATCTCAAAGCTGGAAAAAAAATGGCATGGGAAAACAACAGGGCCACAACAGTGAAGAATGAGCTATGTTCTGTGCTGAGACAAAAATGATATGGAGTTAGCATTAAAATCATGAACAGCAGTTTGTGAATTCTTGCTTGTAAAAATCTTGAATTATCTACTATGGAAAGAAAAGATGTTCTCTCTAGAGATCTTTAAAAGTTTTAAAAGTGTTAGAAAGGAAAGTTACCCCTGCAGATTTTACCCCCACATCTGCTCCTTTGCCCCTGCCCTTGTCAGTAACACTGTGCTCAGCTCTTCCAGCAGTTCATGGTTTCCTATTGCATTTGGCCAGAAGAACTAGTCTTTTGGCAACAGGGGACCAAGGTGATGACCTGGACTTTCTGGGGGATCAATGCCTAACAGCATGTATGGGCCCCAGAATGTCCTGATGGCAACCAAATTTTGAAATTGAGTTGCTCTTTGTTGGAAATTATTTGAGTTAATATACTGCTTCTTAAAAACTTGGATATGTGCTTTCAAGTTTAAATGTAATAGATGTTTATTTCTTAGTCATAGTACTTTAACTCCTGTTACTCTCACTTCTCTCCTATGTATCACATTTTCTTTCAATAAAAGGTAGAAACATTCAAAGTGGCAATGAGGAACAGGAGGGATGTAGAGCAGGTGGGAGGGGCTAGGAAGGTGGGCTGGGGACAAGATGGGCTTTTGTTCAGGGACAGTGCCAGGGAAAGCTCTACCTGCTCAGCACTTTGTGCCTGTGGCCTCGATGGCAGCAGCTTTACCAGATGTGGTAACCTGAGCCTGTCCTAGTTTACTTGTGTCTGTGCCCCCTGAGAGAACCAGAAGAGACACTAATGACCTCATTAACCAAGCCAAACACCAGGGAAGCTAAACCAAAGGAGAACAAAAAAAATAGAAGTAAAGTGGGTTAGAATTATAGCATGTCAGCACTGAAAGAGGGAGCAGAGAGGTCATTTAAGTTTGTCTAAGTTCATCTGCCCCCTCTTTCTTGTCAAGGAGCAGAAACAAAGGCACTGAAAGGCCTTGTGCCCAGCCGCAGATGGACAGGTAGTGGGTGCCGAAGCCAAGTCTCCAATTCTGGTCTGTGTAGTTACAGGCAGGCTCTTACCTGGCAGAAAACAGGTTGTCTGTGTGTACTTGTGTGCATGGGGTCAAAACTCAAACTGCAATTCTGTTTAGTAGATTATGGGGGAAGGAGAAAGCTACTTTAAATTGCTTTAAGCAAGTTATTTATGCAACAGTGTTTTTCTCTAACTTTGAGTGAACCACTGCAGCCTGAGCTGTTCATCTTTATGTAGTAATTCAGGGGCTAACTTGAGATTCTTCTTCTTTTTTTTTTATTTTCTAAATGGTTGCTCCTGGAGAGGCAAACCATATATTACTGGATGGCAACACCTATTACTGCACCCTAACTGAATGTGTAAATTTGATGCAATCATAGGCACAGTCCTAGTGGAATTCTTTTGTAACTTGACAGAGATGCTCTAAAATTAACTTGGAGGTCTGAGCAAGCAAGACTAGATAAGAATACTGAACAAGTTAATGAGAGAACTTGAGCTACCAGATATCAAAACGTTGTAAAACCACAATCATGTAAACAATATATTATAGGCATGGGAATAGAGGTTGATGACACAGCAGAGGAAATGAAGAAAAGAATAACCATATTCATAAGAACTTACATATGAATCATTAGGGGAAAGGATAAAATGCTCAATAAATGATTTGGGACTAACTCAGCTCTTTGGAGAAAAGTACGGAGTCTTATCTCATGCCATATACCAATAGATTGACTAAAAGTAAGAATTGTAAATAAAAGAAAATTAAAAATCCAAAAGAAGTAAAAATGCCTGTATTTCTAAACATAATACTAAAAGAAACTTGAAGCATTTTAGTGTTTGACCTTTAAATATTAAATCTTTGAAATACACAAACTTTAATCTTTTTCTTATAGGATTAGGTCTTAGACCTTGAGGAGTATATGAAAATGTAGAATAAATTTCTCCCTGGGTTCTGTTCAAACTTTACCTGGTTTTTGCGGGACAGTGGAAAAGAAAGGAGAGAGAGTCGTGTGATGGGCAAGGAGGGTGTAGAAAGGGGAAGCCAGATCTCACTGGGCCTGTGGTTGCTGCCTCTTCTCACAGTGACATATTATAAGGGAAGTTGAAAGCTAGTGGGGAAAGAGCATGGAAAGAATCTGGTTAAATATACTCACATACCCCAGTTAAATGTGCTTTATAAATGATTATGCGATTCATCCTGCTGGTAGACCACTGATGTCTAGTGTGGTAGGATTTCTAGGTGGGATTCTTTCACATACACACACATGCATCTCTCCAAATCATTTTTATTTGTTTTGTTTTGCTTTCCCCAGATTCCGTGGGGAAGCAGCAAAGTTTGTAAGTAATGTTTTATAAACAAACATTTTGTAGGAAGTTCTCCTAGAAGTCATCATTAGGAAGGGAAGGCAAGTAATAGTAATGCTTCTATAAGGCTAGAAGGATCAGAGCAGTTTAATGATTTCTCCTGGGCTGGAGACAGAAACAGGAAGCCGTGGAATTGCTAGGTTGCGTGCATTAGGAAGTTTAACAGGTGTTGGTAAACTGACCTCCATAGAGATGATACCCATCTGTAGTTCCCTAATAATATCAGTGCATTATTCCCCACACTTTGACCAGCACACTATAGTGAACATTTTGATCTCTGTCAGTCTGATAGAGCATTATGATGAAACCATTATTTGCATTCTGCGATTATGACTGAAGTTGAACATTATTCCTCTTCTGGGAATCTGAGAGCATTTTAGAGCTGGAATAGACCTTAGAGATAAATTCCATCCATTCAGCCTGCAGATAAACCTGTTTGGCCATGGTCACCTGGCTAGTCCATGACTGAAGCAGGATCGAACACAAGATCTCCTATTTATTGTAAAAACTGAGTGACTGTAGAATCTGGAAAGGTCTCTGGAGCACTCTGGAGTTTGGCTCTAGAATCAGCAGTTCCACTGGAAATCACAGAGCAATGCTAGAACTCATTGCCTGCAGGGGAAAGTGCTTTTGCCCTCCCTGACCTTCAGGTACCTCGTCTGTAAAATGGAATTAATATTAAATTTTTTGCCAAGGTTTCAAGGATTAGCAGTAATGTATATAAAGTAGCTGACCATTATCACAACCACTGCTAACCGTCCTAGTGACCCTTCTGAGATATTTTATGCATAAGAAGACATCACACCCATACTGACTCCCTGCTGTGTGCTGGCCAGGTTGGATCAGGAGACACAATCTCAAAGCAGGAAGGAGTGGGAAGAGAGAGGGAGGGGAACTACTGAAAAATGAGCTATTTCCAACACCAGTCTAGATGATCATCCCAAGTGTTCAGAGGACTGTTGAGAGTTCTATTTCAGTGTTACTGTTCATGGTTACATCACTGCGTTTAATCCTTCTGATATTTTGAAAGAGCGAAGATGAGATGCAGGGCTGCAGTCACAGCCTCACCAGGGGCTGTGGGGGGGCCCTCGTTCCTCTCCTCAAATTCGTTTGCTTTGGCTTCTTGGACATCCCACCCAGCTGGAAGGATCGGAGAGGCACCTTTAGTCCTTTTTGTCCCCTCTAGTTATCTACTGACCTTGTCATGGCCTGCGCAGGTCTTAGTTGAAATAAAGTGGCAGTTCTCAGAGCTCTGATAAATGAGTGAGAAAGTTAATTCTTTTGGGTCTCTCGTTCCTCTCCCAGTTTTCATGTTTCCTCATGTGCGGCTGTCTGGCCATCTGCACACCATCTCTTGAACGCCTATTGAAAGTATAGATTCTTACTTCCCCTCCTATAGACTTTCTGAATCAGGATTTCTGGGAGGGAGGCACCCAGGAATATACATTTTCAGCAAGCAGTCCTAGAAGTATTGAAGTTAGAACACCGATTCTGTACTAGTTCCTTCTTTCTTTCCTTCTTCTCTCTTCTGTTTCCTCTGATCTTCCCTTTGTCCTTCCTCATTTCTTCTGACTCATGCTGGCTTATTTGCTGACTCCTTCCTCTGTGGTGCAAAGGGTTCAGAGTAGCCTGTTGAACTGTTATTGTAACAGAATAAATTTAAGTCCTCTGGAAATTCAGCTAGGAGGAAAAGAAATGAATACATATTTCTTACTGCCTTGCCTGTCCCCATAAAAGGCAGATCTGAAACTATCCTCTCCAAGCATCAGCTTTGGGAAATGCTTCATTCTTTCAAGTACACAGAGGTATCACCTATACAGCTACTCTTCTGGTGTAGGAGATGGACCTTGGGGGTTGGAAATGCGCTTCTTTAGAGAAAACATTACTAGTGAGACATCCAGGGGAGCAGCTACAGCCAGCCTCATAATCAGACACTGGCCTGGGTCCCCTTACTTGGCGGGCTCAAGGTGATAAAGGCATTTGGGGAAGACGGGGCCAGTGGGGCCAACTGGACAGGAAGTAATTGGGGAGGAAGGGGGTGGCAAAGAGGAGTGTCTGTGTGGAGTTTGGGGTGGGTGCCACCAGGTCCTGAACCTCTGCTTTTGTCTTCACAGCCACTGCAGGAGGAGACCAAGATGAATGCAGAGGTGAGTTCTTAAAGAGGAGCAGTTTAAGGAATGCTTTCTGTCCAGTGTTCCCCGTCTCTCCTCCGCAGAGTGTCTTTTCTCTCTACAGAGCTTTCAGGACCATTGGCACAAACTTGAAAGTGTTTCCCCTTCAACCTGCCAACGTGCTCATGGCTCCAGGTGATATGGGAAATATTAGGCCCCTCTGTGTTCTTACCTTGTGTCCGTCCAGCTTCAGTTAGGTTAGAACTTATCTACTACAGTTAATCCTGAAACAACGCTCCTGGGCTGGGGGTGGGGTGGACAGCGTGGGGTGGAGGGTGTTGTGCCCAGCACTCTGCCTGGGGTTATTCTGGGGTCCCATACGTCTGCTTACTAGGACCTTTCTCTGTGTTGTCTCCTTGGTACTCTTGCTCCCATGGTACCTGTTCTTTGATCCAATGAGATGTCTAGTCTTTTTGTCCCTTTGTTTTTTCCTGCTTTCATGCCCTTCCATGTCCAGCGAAGACAATGGGGTCCATCTCCACTGCTCTTGTGCTGATGCTCCCAACTCCTTTTCCTCTTGTCCTGTTGACGCACTGTGGTGACCCCAGAGGCTGCCCCGACAGGATGGTGATTTTGGGTGAATGGCTCAGTTTCAGGCTTACGTGCATCTGGCAAACCCTCATATGGGTGCTCAGTGCTGCCTGCCAGGCCCTCTGCATGGCCCGGGCAGCTCTCCTTCCTATGCCCTGAACAACCAGGGCCCAGCCTCACCTCACTCTTAGCATCTGGATCACCTTTTACTTTACATAGAAAAATTGGAACCATCAGATATCATCTGTCTCAATTCCTGCCTCTCACATTTCTTGTTCCTCTTGTCACAGTGGAAGGATGTTTGTCAGTGAGAGAGCTCCAGGCTTCGAGTATAGGAAAACCCAACTTAAAGTGTTCTTTATCCTGAAAGTCCAGATGGAGAGCACGCTTCAGGGTTGCCTGATCTGGTGGCTCAGTGGTCTCCTCGAGGACCCAGGATCTTTTCATCTCTCTGTTGTCCATCAAAGTGTTGCGTTATCTTGTGGATAGTTCCTCTTATGGCTCTAGGATGACTGTCCGCAGCAGTTAGGGTTATATGCTTCCTCATTCACTTTGAGCAGGAGAAAGATGGCTTTCTGCAGCTCTCCCACATGAGGGGAATACTCTTTTTTTTGCAGCAACATCAAATGCCTCTTTAGGTCTTATTGGCCAGAATCGGGTCACATGCCCATTTCTGGATCAATTACCGTATTAGAGGAGCCTGGATTTTTCCAGTTGGCTTAGACTAAGTAGGCCCTTCCTGGAGCAGCATCCCGCTCTACTCCTGGGCTGGACATAGGAAGAAGAAAGGGAAATGGATGTTGGAAAAGGACCAGTTGCATCCAGTCCAAGATGTTTCTGGTGAAAATGTACCCCTCTCCATATGGAACTACAAACTCTGTTGCCTGTTCAGACCTTGCACTGCCTCCCTGGTTGTTATCTCCTTTACCAGCTGCCTTTTAACCTCATTTCTTTCCGTTCTTTCTCATGAATACTTCAAAATGCTTTAGTTTTTACTTTCATCAGGACAAAACAACACATGATATCTGGTCAAGCTACTGTAATCTTTTCTAACTCCTTTCAAAGGGAGGCTTCTTGAAAGAATTCTCTGCAGGTAATTTCTGCATTTTTACCTCTCTCCAGGTCACTGTCAAAAGTCATTTCTGCTCCATGAAAAGTTTTCTCAGTGCTTTCTCTCTGAAAGTTGTACCTCCCTTTGAGAATTCCTATTGCCCTTCACTTCCTTCCTCCTTTCTTTTTTTGTTACTTACCATTCCCTGACTTGGAGTCTGTGTGCCTTGTTCACTTTAGTTTCCCCCCAGCATCTGACATGATGCCTCATCCATAATTTGTGCTCACTAAATGTCAGTTAACTAAATGACAGGTTGATTCAGAAACCATTTCGTAATCTTATAATGTTATCCAGAGCTTGGGTGGGTCAGTGAAAATGTGGAGGAAGGAAATCATATGACAGAAATTTTAAAGGAAAACTTGCTGTGTCAGAGGCTGGCTGGAGGGAAAGGGTGAAGAAAGATTTTTAGCTGCATTAAGCCCTTTGGTCTCAGAGGATGTTTGTTAAATGTGTGAATGACTCACAGGATTGCAAGCATTTCAAGTGGGTGTCTGATAGAATTTACAGAGCCGCTAGCCTTTGCCCAGAAGTCCCAAGCAAAGCCAGTCAGGGGAGGCAGATGATTGGAATCCAGGGCAGCGTGAGGTGGGCAGGTGGATATTCCCAGTTTGCATTTCTTCCTGCAACTGCAGCTTGGAGAAGAGGACGGCTCATAGCTCAAGATGTTGGAGTCTTAAGCATAAAGGTGGTCAGGGAAACCTTAAGAATGAGGGGTTCCCAACTTTGGGAATGTGGAAAAGAGAGAACATAGGGATAAGGTTTGAGTATTCAGAAATATGCATGTCTGGGGGGCAGAGTGAAGAAGGAAAATGGTGCAGTATGAAAAGAAAAGCTTGGTGTGAGGTGAGAGAACAAGGAAGGAGTGAATTTAAGATTAAAATTAAAGAAGATCCAAATTTAAAGTTTACATTTCAGATATGTCTCAGGTCCAGGAGAATGCAACTGAGGAAAATCCCTTGAATTTGGCCATGAGGTCTGATATGACCTGTGGTGAAGCAGAAAGGCATGGTAGTGAAAAGCAGATTACACTGGGCTGGAAAGGTGAGTGGAAGCAGCAGTTGTCACCTGCAGGTATGAGGAGTCAGATGATTTGGGGGTACTGGGCAGGGCATGATCACGGGCAGAGGGCCCCGAAGGTGGGGCAGCAGAGGATGCTGGGTACAGCAGAGAGAGCCCCAGAGCGATGGGGGTAAGCCAGGGACTATACAAGCTGTGGAGTTCTCATCTGCTTGGAACATCCTTTGGATATTGACACCTACCTTTAGTGTTTGTATTTTGGAAAACTAATATTCACATGATTCAAATCTTTAAATGATTTAGAAAAGAAAATTTACCCTGAGAAGTCCTGTTCCCTGCCAGCTACTGTTTCTCATGCTCCTAAGCAACTGATATTACTGCTTTCTTAGCTCTCCTTTCAGAGGGACTCTTAATATATACAACAAATATTTTTTTTTCTTCATCTGCCACCCTTCTATTTTTACATGATCAGTAGCACACAACTTACACTGATTTGTATTTTGCTTTTATTTTCCAACAATGTAATGTATCTTGGAGATCAGTTCCTTAGATATATAGCTTCCTTGTTCTTTTTTTATAGCTGTGTAATATTCCATTTCTGGGCTATACCAAATTTATAAAACCAGCATAATATTAACAACATATATATTATGTTTGATCTTTCACTATTGTAAGCAAGGCTGCAACAAAATTAGTCATTTCACTTATGTATATCAATAGGATACATCCTTAGAAATGGATTTACTGGAGCAAAGAATATTTACATAATACATATTTCCAAGTTGTTCTATAAAGTTTGCCTGCTTTTCTCTCCTTCATGTATGAATATGCTTGTTTTCCCATGCCAACCAATGTGTCGTCAAACTTTTTGTTTCTTGTAAACAGTGCATGAAAAACATTGCATTGTCATTCCTGTTTGGAATCTCCTTTCCCTCTTCCAGTCTGGTGGTTCAGCACCTATACCCTCATGCCTCACTCCTTGAAGTTCTTCTACAACAGTTTTTATAATTTATTCTACCCTCTTCATCTCAAAACATTTTTTTTCTAAGTTGGCAGAGAATGTTCTCATAATCCCAACTTTCTCCAAATCCATGATCAGATCTGAAGCTCCAAACACCACTTTCCATCCAAAAAGAGCAAGCTCACTCTGTGACTGTGATTTGGCCCTGAATTTAAAGTTTTTGAGTGTCACTTCACTGTCCCTTATGTTTGTCCCTTTTCTGCTGTTGAAAGTGTCTCTGTTCCTATGTGTATATAGTGGCGTTTTACCAAAGGTCCAAGGCAGCAGAGCACAGCAAACAACTGAAAATGGAATTTTTGATACCCCGGTTTCTAGAAATCATTGCAGATCCCTCCACTGGGCATGTCCTACTGGCTTCCTCCTCTGCATATTACTGGTTTCAGCTTCATAACCTGCATGCACTTTCTCCTTTCTGATCATCTCTCTTCCCCTTGCCTCTACCTTTTGCTGGTTCCCAGCCCCAAAGTTTTAGCCATCTCTACAGAACAGTTTAGCTATCTCTTTGATTTGTTTAATCTCAATGTTTTGGGGTTTCCCAGTTATTTTTCTGTTATGGATTTATAGTTTAATTCCATTGTGATCACAAATATGGTATAATTTCAGTTCTTTTAAATTCTTAAAGATGTTTTATGGCCCAAACTGTGGTCTGTGTGGGTTCATGTTTCATGTGAGCTTGAGAAGCATGTGTATTCTGCTGTTGTTAGATGAAGTAGTCTAGAGATGTCAGTTATATCCCTTTGATTGATGGTATTATTGAGTTTAGCTCTGACTTTACTGATTTTCTGCTGTCTGGGTTTGTCCATTTCTGATAGAGGTGTGTTTAAAGGCTCCAGCTGTTAACCACCAACTGGTCCTTGGTACCAAAGTCAAGTCACAAAACACAATGACAAGGTTTTTTTTATTTTTATTTTTATTTTGGTATCATTAATATACAGTCACATGAGCAACATTGTGGTTACTAGATTCCCCGCATTATTAAGTCCTCCCACATACCCCATTACAGTCATTGTCCATCAGCATAGTAAAATGCTGTAGAATCACTACTTGTCTTCTCTGTGCTATACTGCCTTCCCCGTGCCTCCTCCTACGTTATATGCACAATGACAAGGTTTTGAGGAAAGGGAAAGAATAGTTTATTAATTTGACAGCAAATGAGAGAGCGGCAGTCTTGTACCTTAAAGAACCACTGTCCGCCTGAAGCACATGCAGTTAGGGCTTTTAAAGGGGATATCATGGGAGAGAAACTGTGGTGTTCACAGACACATGAAAGAGCAACTTGCAAGGATCTAAACAGACTTTATTGGATCAATTCCATTGCTTTTTGTTTTCCTTATTGCTTCATCCTTAGGACCGGATGGCCTGGGTTCCCTAAAATCAACTTTCTGCCTTATCTCTGACCATGAGATTCAGAAAATAGGGATAACAAAGAGAAACTGCCACTGTGGTGGTTACAAAGTTTTTGTGGGCTACTTGAGTTCATTTTCATGTTAATGTTAGTGTTGAATTTTAAACCCAGAGGTTAATTGAGTTTTTCTGTGTTACGTAACTGTGGTAGTAGATTTATAAATTTCTCTTTGCATCATATAATTTGATGCTGTGTTGTTAGGCTCATACATGTTGAGGATTATTATGTCTTCTTGGATCCCATTATTATTATGTAATGCCCTTCTTGAAATTAATCTAGCTACTCCTACTTTCTTTGTGTGTGTCTTTATATTTAAAGTGGGTTTCTTGTAGATGACATATAATTGGGTCTTGGTTTTGAATTCACTTTTATGATCTGTCTTCTACCTGATGCATTTAGACCTCAGTGTTCAAAATGATTATTGATATAGTTGGATTAATATTTGTTACTGTTTTCTATTTGTTGCTCTTGTTCTTTGTTCCTTTGTTTTTGTCTTCCACTCTTTCCTGTCTTTTGTGGTTTTAACTGAGCATTTTATATGCTTTCACTTTCTCCCCTTTGCTAGCATATTGATTATATTCTTTAAACTTTTTTTAGTGGTTGCCATATAGATCATAGTATGCATTTATAGCTAATCCAAGTCAATTTTCAAGTAAAACTGTACCACTTACAAGGTGTGAGTACCTTAAAATAATGAAATCATCCTATTCCTTCATCTGGTGCTTTGTGTCATTGCTGTCATTCATTTCATGTATATAAAAGCATACATAAGTGTATAAATACATAAGATGTCTACATACATCTTATATAACAAATACTTCATTTGTATTATTTTGAATGAATTACTGGTTAGATCAGTTAAGAGTAAGAAAAATAAAGTTTTTATATTGCTTTCACTTAATCCTTCTTTAATGCTCTTCCTTTCTTTATGTAAACCTGAGTTTATTATTTATTTTATTATTTTCCTTTTTACCATCTTATTTTCCTTTTTTCTAAGTAACTTCTTTTAAGATTTCTTGCAAGGCAGCCTGTTGGCAGCAAGTTCCCTCAATTTCTGTTTGTCTGAACACTGTTTCTCCTTTTCTATGGAAGGATCATTTCACAGGGTAGAGAATTCTAGGTTAGTAGTTTTTATCTCTTAACATGTTACATATTTCACTCCACTCTGTGCTTGCATTTTATGGTTTCTGCAGAGAAGTAGGATGTAATAATTCTTAACTTTTTAAAGTTGTTTTTCCCTCTGCCTCTCTTAGGATGTTTTCCGTTATCTTTGATTCTCTGTAATTTAATGGTTTATGTAAGTGTTTTTGGTGTGTGTAGCATTTGTCCTTCATGGTGTTCTCTGAGCTTCCTGGATCTGTGAATTGGTGTCTGATGTTAATTTGGGGAAATTCTCAATTATTATTTTTTCAAATATTTTTTCTTTTCTCTCTCTCTTCTCTTTCTAATATTCCTGTTACACAGATGTTAACACCTTTTGTAGTTACCTGACAGTCCTTGCTTTCTGTCTCTGCCCCCTTCAGCCTTTGTTCTCTTTGCTCTTCTGTTTTGGAGGTTACTATTGAGACATTCTCAAGCTTGGAGACTCTTTCCCAGCTGAGTCCACTCTACTAATAAGCCCATAAAAGGCATTCTTCATCTCTGTTACGTTTCTGATCTCCGGCACTTTTTTTCATGCTTTCTTAAGATTTCCATCTCTCTGCTTACATTGCCTATCTGGTCTTACATGATGTCTACTTTATCCATTAGAGCCCTTAGCATAATAATCATAATTTTTAAAATTCCAAGTCTGATAATTCCAACACCCCTGCCATGTCTGATTGATGTTTGCTCTTTCTCTTCAGATTACGTTTTTTCTTTGTCTTTTGGTATATCTTCTCATTTTTTCTTAATAGCCAGACGTGATGTACCAGGTAAAAGGAACTGCTATAAATAGGCCTTTAGTAATGTGGTGGTGAGGTGTGGGGAGAGGTGAAGCATCCTATAGTCCTATAGTCTTATTATAGTGATTAGGTCTCAGTCTTTTAGTGAGCCTGTGCCTCTGGATTGTGAATATTGCAGATGTTTCTTTATTTTCCTCTTCCATTATGTGGGAGAAGATGCTAGCATGGCTTAGAGTTGGGCATTTCCCTTCCCTTAGATTAGGCTCTGATAATACCCTAGTAGGTTAACTAGTTTACCCTGAGTTCAGGCCTTGTTAACTCTGGCTTGTTTGAAAATAGTTCTTTTTCCCTCTTGCTGGAAGCATAAAGGGCTATTTCTCCAGTATTTACTATGGGAACCTGGTAAAGTTCCTGGAGTTAAATCTCACAAAATTGAGGTAGGTCCCCGTGGAGTTTTTAACTCTTAGAGTTGTCCACCCTGAGCCTCCAGCAATTGATCAGTTACAATTCAGGCTTTCCTCCTGTAGCACTGGTTCCTGCCATGGTTCCTACTCACTAGTCTCTGCTCCATTAAGTTGTTACTCTGTCTGTCTGTCCAGTCTTGAGGACAGTGGTTTGCCTTGTGTCATCACCTCTCCGAAGGATCCTAGAAGAGGCCCTGATTTTTTTTAGAGTGGTTAGCTTTTTACTTTTTTGGATGGAATGGCAACTGGTA